GACGCAGGCTCCTACACACACACCTACAGACTTACAAAGCCTGCTCTACTGTGGTGTTGACCAGATGACAAGGCAGGGTTGGGTTGATTTAAATCAGGTTGATTTAAATCAGTTCATTTTTTAAATTTAAATCAACTTGATTTTTTAAATAAACATCAGTGATTTAAATCACTTTTAAAAAAATTTATTTTTATTCAGTTTTTACTTATTTCAACATTCAGAATTCCTTTCCTTGGTTTCATAAAACAGATATAAGGTTTAGTAGACTAATATATTCATGCTTAAAAGTCTGCTTTCCCTCCTTTCACTGTAAAATAATACAGTATAATTCAATTTACTTTTTTTTCCATAATTGAAATCAGAGCTGGGTTGATTTAAAACAGTTGGTTTTTTTATATTTTAATCAACTTGACTTTAAAAATAAAAATCAGTGATTTAAATCACTTTTTAAAAAATGTATTCAGTTTTTACATATTTGAACATTCAGAATTCTTTTCCTTGGTTTTATTAAACAGATAAGGTTTAGTAGACTAATATAATCATACTTAAAAGTCTGCTTTCCCCCCTGTCACTGTTAAATAATACAGTATTCAATTTACTTTTTTTTTCATAATTGAAATCAGGGTTGGGTTGATTTAAATCAGGTCGATTTAAATCAGTTGATTTTTAAAAATTAAAATTTTAATCAACTTGATTTTAAAAATAAAACTCAGTGATTTAAATCACTTTAAAAAAATGTATTCTGTTTTTACATCTTTAAACATTCAGAATTCCTTTCCTTGGTTTTATAAAACAGATATAAGGTTTAGTAGACTAATATAATCATGCTTAAAAGTCTGCTTTCCCCCTGTCACTGTAAAATAATACAATATTCAATTTCCTTTTTTTTTTCATTATTGAAATTAACGTTTTCTTTTTCTTTTTAGACAAACACAAGCGCGCGCACACACACACACACACACTGTAATAAAATGCAAGATTATCTATGCATAATTACCCCCCCCCCCCCCCTTCCTTTTAGACAGACATTCTCTTCATTTTTTGTCTTTAGCCATAATTCACTGATATATATATATATATATATACAGAGCTGTTAAAGTACTTTTAAAAAGGTACTTAAGTACAAATTTAAGTACAATCTAAAATATGTACTTAAGTACAGTAAAAGTACTTTCCTGTAAAATGTACTTGAGTACAAGTAGGCCTACTTTTTTAAAAAGTACTTATGAGTACATTTTGAGTACTTTCTGCTAATTTTCTAAAACACCTCAGTGCTAATGCAAAACATCATATTGAATAACATATCTAGTATATTTGACAAATTCGGCCATTTATTACTAATAATGTAAACAGTATACAAAGCATTTGAATATACGCACTGAACGTAGGTGGAAATTGTCCGTGAAATTGGAAAAAAAAACCCAGCAAACAAACAGACGCAACTAGTGAGTAAGTGATATTATGAATAGAACTTGTTTGAGCAAGACAATATGATCAAATGTAAGTCAGTCCTAGAGGTCGGAAAGTAGGAAAAGTATCAAAATTGGAAAATGTAGAGACAAAGTTGATCTAAGAAAATAAAAAATTGATGAAAATGGCCAGCAAAAAAAAGTGCTTTGAATTCTTTAACAAATCCTCAAGGAATCAAGGTAGTTAAGCACAAACCACAAAAAAAGGAAAAAAGAAATTTAGGTAGTCTAAAAAATTGTTAGATTGATATACATAGAGAACTCCGTTTCAGTTTCAATTGATTATAATAGTGATAAGACAGAGTTGGTCACACTATGTAGTCCACGGCGTCCACGGCAAACCAAAATAGGCCTACATGTAATTTCCTAGAGTCTAATAAGTGTAGTGTAACCAAAGATTCTCTACTACAGTAGTCTCCGCCTAAGATCCCAGTGCTCGGGAGCAAGGGAAATATGGGATCTTAGCCCGACGAAGCTAAGGAAGAATCTACAGTGACCCAAGAACTGACGTGACCCCTGGGTAGGTTTATGACATATGGCGAGCAAAGAGTGGTCATCCTTGATGACCAATCACAGTAGCATGGTGGCATGAGGCAAGCCATAATATTATACCGTACACTCATTAGCATATCGTCTCGAGATCTTTATCTACGTTTATCCAGTTGCCCCTCCCCTTTACCTGTCCAAAAATTGTAGCCTTCCATCTCTGATTGAGTCCTCCCCCCCCCCGCCTTTGTCGTTACGTACCATTACGCTGTGACCACACCAGTTAAAATTCAGGCTGTCTCGCAATTTCGGGAATAGAGAAAAACTGCCTTCAACTTCAATGGTCAGGGAAGAGTTCACAGTTCGATGTGATCCTGCCTGGAGCGAACTTGTAGGCCCAACCCACCCAGCGAGGGATGAAAGTTCAGGTGGCGAGCTCAGATGCGAGTGCGATGTTTGGGGAAAAGAAACGCCCATCGGTCAGTTCACACCTCGGTGTGATCCCGTCTGGGGATCATTGTACCGTTTCATGGAGTTTTACAGCGCATGTGATCACTTTCACAAGAGTGGCTGATCTTTGACGCGACGGGCAGTTCTTTAATCTCAACTTTTAACTCTTGATTGATCGGCTGTGCCCGCCCGGGTGTTTGTTCCGTAAATTATGATCGGAAATGTCGGCACTTATTCTTTCATTGAGCTTCAAAAGTACTCAAAATGTACTTGAAAAGTACTCAAAAGTACTTTTATAAAAAGTATCGGAGTACAGTAAAAGTACTGGTTCTCAAAATGTACCGGAGTACAGTAAAAGTACCGAAAATTGTAACGTAAGTACAAGTACTGGAGTACTTGTACTCTGTTACAACCAGCTCTGTATATATATATATATATATATATATATATATATATATATATCAATCAGATTAAGGCTTTCTTTTGCGGTTGCTTAAATTAATCATTAGTTAAAAATAAAGACAATGCATTTTGCACTAAAAGAACATACTTTTAGCAACCAAAAATCCTAAACTGTGTCGACATTTAAAAAAAAAAATTTAAAAAATCCGATTTAAATAAAAAATATCTTGATTTAAATTTAAAAAATCGATTTTTAAAATTTTTATTTAAAAAATCAAAAAAATCACCAACCCTGTGACAAGGACATGTGGTTACTTGAGGGAGGCATTGCTCTGCCAAGAGCGAAATGCTCGCAGCTTAAAGAGATTTGAAAATAACGGCCTGACCGCGGTTAAAACAGGATAAAAACAGATCACTCTGTTTAATCTTTCTGGCTCTTTGCATGCACGTCTAAAAGTTAACTCATTCGCTACGCATTATTTGGGCTTGGATGAATTTTTTTCTGGAGGGCGAAATAAGATAATGACTAGATATCTAGTGCCCAAAACCCATACTACCCAGTTATCATTGAGGCCTAAACCGGATTGTCCCTATTTTGTTTTTGACAGAGTTCAGGCATAGATCTATGAGACTACCAATTTTTTTGCCCGGATATGCTCCCTGTGTTTACGTTAAGTGGGGCCGGACAGATGCCGGACCCATTGAAAAGTGAGGGTGTCGGAATACGCTCAGGGTGCATATGATTGACACCCACGGGACTTGGGTTAAACTGATTAAAGCTCTTGTTTTTATCATGATATAAAGTTTTATATAACATGTTCCTTACTTTTACTTTGTACTCAAAATCGCTTGAAACACTGTTGTTATGACAATGAATTTTTATTTTTGGGCTTTTGTTAAAAGAGCATGCCAGGTTTGTTTTGCTGGACTGGACTGTGCCACATCCAGAAATGGCATAAATCACTCAATGCACACAGACACCATATGATAGTAAAAAGTTTAAAAAAAAAAGGAATATGTGTAAAAATAAACATTTTTTTAAAGCGTAATAATGTCAGGTGAATTTGTGAGTTTAGAATGATAGTAGTTGTAAGATTATAATATAATATTGTAATAGAAAATGCAATGGTAAATATGGTACAGTGGAAACCTGATATAACAGGGATGGTGGGAGTAGAGAAAAAGTCCTGTTATATCCGATCCCTGTTAAATCAGAAATGCAAGGAAAGTGAGCATTTGTGGACTAATCTAGCTGTACTTATTCCTGGGTAGTTTCCCTAGCCTCAAGTACCCACGAACATAGGTTTTGGCACCGACTTTCTCCTTGCGCCCTTAAAACCACATCAGAAGAGCTTGGTCCAGAGCATCTACAGAGGGTAGTCTCATCTTCTTTCGATCCAGAGCAAACTTTTCATTTGAGTATGCTGCCACTATCTTCTCTCTATCCTTGATAATGGTGGGAATCGATCCTTGTGGAATGTCGAACTGACGACAAATCTCTGCCAGTAGAGCTTGCTTTTTGTCAACAGTCTGGATTATTTCGTATTTTTTGTCAATTGAAAGGCATTTTCTCTTGCGCTTGACATCGTTGGTGACCATAATGAAAGAAGTAGGCTTAGATCTAGTCCGACCGGTCGTCCTCTCTCTCTCTCTCTCTCTCTCTCTCTCTCTCTCTCTCTCAAAGGCATTTTCTCTTGCGCTTGACATCGTTGGTGACCATAATCCCTCCCTCCCTCTCTCCCTCCCTCCCTCCCTCCCTCTCTCCCTCTCTCTCTCTCTCTCTCTCTCTCTCTCTCTCTCTCTCTCTTACTTTTTACACATTGTTAACGAGCCTTTGTCCCTGCTATAACCGGTTGGGCTCCGTTGAGGCCCTGTTATTGCCGATAACTTTTAATAGAGACAAAGAGTAGGAAAAATCAGGGATTTTAAACATCCCTGTTATTACCGGATCCCTGTTATTTGCGGGCCTGTTAATTATGGTCTGGTTTCCACTGTAATTGGAAACACTAGTTGACTTTTAATTTATATAGAGTGATTTAATACACAAGAAGCGTTAACTATTAACTTTTTGAATTCGATCTTTAAGTAAGTTAAAAGTATTTAATAAATTGTGTTCTTTTTTGTAACATTACGAGGACAATGTATACAATGTTACAAATGAATGATGTGAATTGTTTCTTTTTTTCTCCTCAGAATTCATCATGGTTTCATTGCTGAGCCCAGGGTTACCCCCACTGTCCCTGCAAGACATTTTGGATAATGCTGGGCGATTGGTGGACAGACACCTGCAGGAGGACTCCTTGTACTTGGACCTTGTGAACCTCTTGAACATCCCAGCTGAAAGTAAGTTTATCATGTGAAGGCATGTTGGCATTGTGGACTGGGGTGTCTGTGGACTGCCTGCCCATCCTGAGAAGGGGCCATTCTTTTGGAGGGTAGGAGGGTACAAGGGGTTTTCAAGAGACTGGAAAGACCTAACTGCCCTGTGACCGTGTCATTCCGGTTGGGTTCACGTTGCCCATTCCCCGCCACCAATGGCTACTGGCTAAAGTTTTCTAATCTTTTATGAGATATCGGCCAAGTGGAAAAGCCATTGGATCGTCACGTCCTGGGTCGTTGTGCCTTTACTAAGAGGTCCACGGTCAGAAAGCAAGTCAGGCATTCCGCTCGGTCCATCCCTGCACCCAGACACTCTCAAACTGGCTGGTACCTTCTCAGCCACAGAGGGTGTGTTGATAAAAGCAGTAGAGGTGTTAGGTAGATTAGACACCCACTCAAGGGAGAGTACGGATGTGTTAGTGAGGAGCATAGCGTCTACCATGCATCGGTGGGTTCTGCCTCCTGCACCTTGTGGGGCCACACCTGCTCCCATCCTGTGAGGATCTTGACAAGGGAATATACCTAAAGTATCGACTGGATGGCTCTCTTTTTGATCTACGTCGCCTGCAAGCCAAGACAAAAAACCAGCACAAAACTCCTTCCGCTCTTCGCCGATGACTGCTCCTTGAATGCTCACTCTGAAGCGGACCTGCAAACAATGCTCAATCGCTTCACAAAAGCCTCAAAGCTTTTTGGACTTACAGTAAACATCGGGAAAATTGAAGTTCTTCACCAGCCTGCTCCACAAACTAACCCACTGTCTCCAAACATCACTATCAATGGCAACAGCCTGAAGAACACCTAGAACTTCAAATACCTTGGAAGTATCATCTCTGTAGACGGCTCTATCGATCTATCGATCTGGAAATTGATTCACGAATCAGCAAAGCCAACCAAACTCTTGGTAGACTGAAAAACAAGGTACTAAAACAGCACAATGTCCGGCTGCAAACAAAAATCAAAGTGTACAAAGCCGTTGCGCTCTCCTCCTTCCCATACGGTTCGGAGACGTGAACACTTTACAGGAAGCACATCAACACATTAGAGCAGTTCCACCAAAGGGCTCTCTGCAGCATACTCGGCATCCGGTGGCAAGACCGCATCACCAACATTGAGGTCCTCAACCGATCAAGCTCACAAAGCATAGAAAGCATGCTTCTAAAAGGTCAAAGACCAACTGAGATGGGTCGGCCATGTCATCTGCATGGAAGACCACCGAATGCCCAAACAACTGCTGTATGGCAAACTCACTAGTGGCAAAAGAAATATCGCGAGGCTAAAAAAGCGGTTCAAAGACACGATAAAGGAAAACCTCCAGCTTGCACAGGTTACCCCCAAAGAACTCGAAAGAACTGCCACCAAAAAGAATGCGTGGTGCAGGGTTGTCCGTCTTGCCAGCAGAAACAGCGATATCAACTACAGGGAGAAGCTGGCTATCAGAAGAGAGAGGAGACATAATCCAACCACCCCAACAACAACATTCCAGTGTCCCCACTGCAACAGAAATTGTGCATCCAGGATCGGATTGCACAACCACATGCGCGTCCACAGATGAGCAGCAGGATTTTATCGTCATCTTCGACAACGAAGGACTACCTACACATATGAAGCACAGCAGTGGTGGATGACCACAATGCCTTCCTGATCTCCCTTCATTTATCGTACTTTGTGTGTCTGAACAGGCTGGTGCTCTGTTTTTAAAAAATTTTAGTCGGTCTTGAATGAATCTGTCTGTCAATTGTTCAGCACCAAGGGCTCGTTGGTCTTTAAGACTGTAAAATTTCCTGGGTATTCTTATTGCAACAAAAAGTGTTTTTTGAAACGATGCCAGATGGAGTCACCACCTGATAGCCTGGTAAACATAAGTAAATTTAAATAGGAAGGTAAATTAATAATCAGTGGGTATCAAAAATCAAATGTGGGAATTGTGTTTAGATGTTAATGTGGAATATGCTGGTGATGGAGTAATAGTGAAAACTTGTCCTGATGTGGCTGCTATGAGAAGCAGAGGGACCTGTGCCCTATTGCAGAAGTGTTTGGTTGTGCAGATATATATAAGAAAAATTGAAAGCCTTGAGATGTCTAGTCATACCAGTAGGGACTTTCGTTCAGATTAAGATATGGACTCGAGCTTATGCTTGTTTGTTTGTTTACATGTTTAAATTTTTGCTGTTTTTCTTTCCAGACCAGCCCAGTTTGAGTGGTCTTCATGACCATGACTATCCCAGTCTACCTGAAGTTGGAGTGGGCTTAGAAGCCCTGTCAGAGCTTTTGGTGGAAAAAAGAGTTCCTTTGCCACCTGAACTTGTGGAGCAGTTTGGACGTATCCTTTCACGTATTAGTGATAACCTTTTGTTAAAATTTGCTTTACTCATATTTTGGTGTCCTTTGGTTTAAAAAAAAAGATATTGAGGTCCTGTTGATGTTTGTTTTCAGCATGATGGAACTTGGATGACCTCAAATTATCAGTGTATTAGTTTTTAAGGTTTCATTTTGGATGATGATTGGGGACAGAATATGTTTAGTTGTAGTGGCTCAGAGCTAGTTAAGTTTTGTTGTAGTGCATCCTGAAGAGGTTACCAATTGTATTATAATTCTGTGTACACAGATCACATTGGTGTCTGTTTCCTTCACTCCAAGTTTCTTGGAAAATCCTGTGCATACCAAAGGAATTGTCACCAGTGTCCAAATTTCAATTATGTATTTTGTCATACATTGATAAAACTGGTACCCTAACTTGTCATAGTATAAATAAAAACCACAAACTTTGCTTTGAGTACTGTTCATTCGAATAAAGTAAAACAGAAACAGCGGTCAATATATGTTGTTCACAAATCCTTCACTCCTATTCAAGGCATGCAGTGCAATTGTATGATGGGCTTGTTCCCAGAGATTGAAAGAGCCTGGCTGACCATTGACAGTGACATCTTTGTTTGGAAATATGAAGATGGGTAAGTAAACCAATCAGTGTAAATTACTATGATAAGAGACAGTAAAGGTAATGTAAATTAGGTTGCGTTAAAAGGCACGTAAGTCATCATGCAGACTTCTGATGGCGTAGTTTTGGTGAAATGAAAGATGCTGACTGTTGTGTTAAAAGGTTTTCATTACCAGCTTAGAATGTTGTACATGACAAGACGCAAGGAAGAATGAAAACTAATGTCATGTTAATGCCCATCTTGATTGACTTTCTTTTAGAGATGCTGTTATTTCCCTTAATTGTATGTGTTGCTACATTGCTTTTAAAAAAAATCCACAAGTTCATTTAACTTCATGATCTATTCTCAACATCTTTATTTTGTTTGAACAGGTCTGATCTGGCGTACTTTGATGGCCTCAGTGAAACTATATTGAGCGCAGCCCTTGTGAAGCCTAAACCAGGTTGGTAATATTTTTTTTTGACAATGACTGCATTTTATGGTTTGGTGTCTTGTTAGAGTGACACTCTAGGGTGAAAAACTGACTTGCTTTTGTATTGTGTTGGGTTTCGATGGGTAGAATTGAATGAATTGATAGGTGTCTGAGCTTTGACTGTGAAAAAGTATAATTTCATTATTCATTACTTGTCTATTCAGCAGACTTATGAGTGCTTTGTGGGTGGTTGGCGGATGCTCTTATGTGGTTTGCTTCTTCTTTCGTATCAAACATCTATCGTCCGTATCTCCCCTTCTCCTTTTTTATGTTTGTTACTCTCTTGTAACACCTCTAATCTTCTGGCGCTCATATTACCTTATGTAGTTGCGAGCGCTGTAAAACCTCTACTAAAACTAAACACGAGTGCTTTCTTCAGGTGTCTTGTGAAAAGCAACTCTGGATAATTTTTGCATACCGTACCCAACCTTCCAGTTCATTTGCAATACCTTTTTTTAAAATACAATCAATTACAAAAAGTGTTATATCTTTTCTTAATGCCACTTTTGAATCTGTCAAATAACCGTTTCTTATTTTTCAGGAATATTTCAACCTCATATACAGTACTTGATGTGCCTTGCAACACCCGTAGACATAATTCTTTTAGGAGTCAGCTTCTACAGATCGCAGGATGGTATGGCTACATTTTTGTTGTTCTTGAATTAACTATTACTTTATGTTACTGCTATCATATTCCTGGAATTCCAGATGGTTTAACAGTTTTCAAAAGAGATGATTGATTACAAAAAGTCAAGACTCGAAATATGTAGTTTCATGAAGAAAGCTTGCTTTGCTCAAGGTTTAACGAAAATTGAAGTGTTCAAACCAGTTTTTTTCCCTCACAGGGTAAGTATGTACTGCCTATAGCTTGTGTATATATGCTACTATATTACTTTTGTAAAGAAATGTTTTGTTTTGAGAATCTTAGACTTGACCATGTTGTGACCAACACCGTTAGTAAGGTAAGCTGTAATGATGTAGTTTTTCTATCCAACTACTCTTCTCTTCAGTGCGCTGTTTCTGAATTTTCCAAACCTGTTCTCACGAGAATGTTATTTTGATGACTGAGATGTCACCAGTTGTTCATCTGTTGTTCACAATTTTTATTTAAAATTCATAGATCTTTGTCATGTGCAGTTGTGATAATGATTCTGGATACTTTTTTTTTCAGGTGGAAGTGGAGACTTTTTAGGTGAGGAGATGCATCTTCTCCCTGACCCTCCGTTCTCTATTCCGACTGATGGAGTGTACATCACAAGTATTGTTGGAGCAGATAATGGGAGGATCTTTATGGCTGGGAAAGATGGCTGTCTCTACGAAATGATTTACCAGGTAAAAAAGTTGTACACAGTCTAAGTCCAGGCATTGAAACCACTAGGTACAATGTCGTTGCTGCTGATGTAGTTGACTACAGGCACACATCTTCACTGTTTGTATGTTTGTTTGTTTTTGTCAGTGATATAAAATATATTTTGAAAAGTAGGGCAATATCCCAATGAACCAAAGGTAGCTAAAGGCTGAAGTGTCCAAGTGCAAAAAAAGCAAGTGGATTTTTGACAACAAAGTGTTAGATATGATATGGTGTTGGACTCAGCAGAAACTCTCTGTCTGCACGTTTTATGAATGTCACCAATTTCAGATTTCATGTTTTAGAATTTGGATTGTTCACAGACAATTTACTTTTTAAAATTAGGTTGCAGAGATCTCTGTATTTTGTTGGTAAAGATTTCAGCTTTTGCAGTGTCTCTGGTTTTGTACACAGGGAAAGGCACTGATTTATTCAGTTAAAAGTGTGTAATGTTTGTGGTATTCAAGTTGGTGCACCCACAGGTTGTACTCATGCGCTGAAATTAGCATGAAGGAACTAACTGTCAAGGGTTCTACATTAATCCTTGATGTTTTGACAATGGTACTAGCAATTAGTATTGTTGCAAGCTCATCATGGACAGTGATTTATTTGCTATGGAGGATTCAGACTTATTTTATACAGTGTCCAGCTCAGTTATTGATTTTCAATATTTCCCTGATGTAGTGTCAAGTAAGGTAACATTTGTTAGCTGGCATATTGATGGTTAAACTCTTAGTGTTTCCAGCATTCAATATAACTGGTCAGGTGGTATGTGGTTCTTCAGTTGTCAAAAGTCCTGGGAATTGGATTGAATTTGGAGAACGCAATAAGGGTAAACAGCTTAATGGCAGGTTGGCCGGTGCTCTGGTGTGGTCTGCTCCTTCTTTTCTTATGCCAAACATCTTTCGTCCCTATCTCTTCTCCTGCTAGATAGGATGTGGTGTTGGACACAGCAGAAACTCTCCATCTGCGAGTTTTATGAATATCACTGATTTCAGATTTCATGTTTTAGAATTTGGATTGCTTAAAGACAATTACGTTCTTCTAAATAAATTGCACGGATGTGTATTTTTGTACGTAAAGATTTCAGCTTTTGCCATGTCTCTGGTGATGTATGCAGGGAAAGTCATTGTTCAACTCAGTTCAAAGTGTTTAATGAACAGTAATGTTTGTGGTAATGATTGTAGTCGGTGAACCCACAGGTTGTATTCATGCTGAAATTAGCATGAAGGAACTAACTGTCAAGGGTTCTACATTAATCCTTGATGTTTTGACAATGGTACTAACGATTAGTATTGTTGCAAGCTCATCATGGACATTTGTTGCATGCTCATTATGGACATTTGTTTGCTGTGGAAGATTTGGACTTTTTTAAATAAAGTTGCCAGCTCAGTTCTCAAGTAATGTAAAAATGTTTATGTTAGCTGGCATATTGGTAGAGCTCTTAATGTCGAAGTATTTAATATTACCGATATATGTGTTGTTCTTCAGTTGTCAAATGTCAAGGGATTGATTTTGAAGAATGCAAGAAGGGTAACGTTTTTATTGAATAATTTTAGCGTATGATGGGACATAAGTCTTGCTGTTTTTGTGAGAAAGGTTATGTTTATTGCAATTGTTTTTACCCTTGAACCCATAAGTTTTGTTCAAGCTACTATTAGCATGGAGAGACAGTCTTTCGAGGGTTCTACAGTTTTTTGGTGTTTTGACAATGGTGCTACTTTAAGCTGTCTAATGTTTGTGCTAATAACTGTTGTCAGTGAACCCACAGGTTGTATTCATGCTGAAATTAGCATGAAGGAACTAACTGTCAAGGGTTCTACATTAATTCTTGATGTTTTGACAATGGTACTAACTATTAGTATTGTTGCAAGCTCATCATGGACAGTGATATATTTGCTATGGAGGATTGAGACTTATTTTATAAAGTTGCCAGCTCAGTTGTTAATTTTAAGTATTTCCTTGATGTAGTTTTCAAGTAATTTAAAAATTTGACCTGCTAGCTAGCATATTGGTTGAGCTCTTAATGTTAAAGTATTCAATAATACTATTATGTGGTTGTTCAGCTCTCAAAAGTCAGGGGATGGGTATTGAATTTGGAGAATGCAGCAAGAGTAGACAGCTTAGTGGGTGGTTTGGGGGGGGGGAGTGGGGTGTATGCTTTGCTCCTTCTTTCTTATCATGCTTTTCGTCCCTATCTCTCCCCTCCTTTTTTGTGTTTGTTACTTTCTTGTAATAATATCAGCACTTATATGACCCATTGTGTTGCAAGTGCTGTAAAACACTTACTAGAACGAAAAGCTCAGACTGGATATCAACATGTTCCATTGAGGCTCAGAAGTGCAGTTATGGGTTGTTTTGTTTTGATTTGTTTTTTTTATAAGGCTGCTAATTTGATGTGTTTGTTTAACATGTGTTTAAATATTGTAAATCATTACAGAATAAGACAAGTGTTGCGAGTATGATGTGAAACAGGACATATTGTTTGTGAGAACAGTTATGATTATGTTTATCGTAATTGTTATTAGCGGTAAACCCTCAAGTTTTGTTCATGCTCCAATAGCATGGCGAGACAGTCTGTCAAGGGTTCTACATTATATTTTGGTGTTTTGACAATGGCACTAAAAATTAGTGTTGTTGCAAGCACATCACGAACATCATATGAACTTTTTGAGTGATTATATTCTTCTTTTACTTTCAAAAGAAGACATTCATTTACATCTTTTTTGTTTCCAACAAAACAGTGATCACTGTTAGCTGTGTTAATGAGTATTACAAGTTAAATTTTTGTCTTCAATGAAGTTCACATGTCTTTTAAAACCACCTACTGGACAAAGTCGTTGCTGTTTTATGTACCTCATAGTTTCTGAGGTCTGGCTGATTGCAATGACCGGATTTATTTATTTACTCGACTACAACACTCATACCATGGAATTAAGTAAATAAAACCTGTACGTCTTTGTGTTGATTGGCTGGATTATATTATTTTACATGTTCATTATTATCACTGAACCCACATGTTGTGTTTATGCTAGAATTGGCATAAAGACACTTACTGTTGGGGTTCTACATTAACCATTGATGTTTTGACAATGATAGTAAAAAATTGCTGTTGTTGCAAGCACATCATGAACATCTGCATTTTGTATTTGTCTAACTTTCAACTGACTAAAGACTTCAGAAAGAATTAATGGAATTACCATAGTGTTCATCAGAAATTTGTTATTTGAAGTTACCTGAAATCACACAGGGACTTGGAATGATAATTGATGAAAAGCATCATATTATTATTGTTTTCAGCAGAGATCAGGTATATTGATAGTCAATGGGCAAGGGTTTCTGATCAAAATGAAATGGATGAGTTGTCTGTAGAAACTTTGTTGGATATTGTTGTTTTTCTTGCAGTCCGTTGGCTTATAATATACTCTCTGGCATGGGCTGGTAGGGGTATGTGTTTAGGATGGATTGGACTGATCAAAGCGAAGAAAAGTTTTAGTTTATATATAGATCAGGTGTATATCGAAGTAGTTATGGTAGCATCATACCCCTTTGGCTTGAGTCTTGTGCTTCATTTTTTTCTTCATTCTCTCCAACAGGCAGAAAATGGTTGGTTCAGCCGCAAGTGTCGTAAAGTGAATCACTCCACCAGCTCCTTGTCCTTCCTCATTCCTTCCTTCTTGAATTTTTCATTCAGTGAAGACGGTACGTTACAGTTTATTTTAATGGCTTCGTTTTTTTATTTGCTAAAATATAGTGATTTTATAGGTTAGACTGTTTGGCTCCCATCACTTGATAACGTCCTGTGGCGTCAACCTGGTGATGCAGTGGATTCCCGGACACTTAAGCATACCTGGAAATGACAGAGTAGACATACTCGCTAAAAGGGGATCCAGATAGGAACAACCCAACATTCCAACTTCATACAACACTGCAATACAAATCATTAAAAGCAACAAGAAACAAGATTGGATGAACAAACAGATGGGCCTTGGGAAAGACAGGCAGAGCAGTTTTCAAACATATGACCACAACAAAATGAAATGACTATATCAACCATTTATAGAGAAAGAAGCAGACCAAGATCTTCCTCCTACGAACAGAACATATACAGCTCAACTTTCACTTGAACAGAATAAAACCAGAACTTCCCCCAATGTGTCCCTTGTGTGACTATGCATATGAGACTGTGGATCATCACCTGTTCCACTGTACAGCCCTAAATGACATCAGAGCTACACTTCTCCCTCCGAGACGTAACATTGACAACACACTCTACGGAACATTACAGCAACTGCAGCAAACCTGCACTTATCACAGCATGGCATTGGACAGAAGGGCGAGAGCCCAGCTATTGCTGGATCGATAACAACAACATAAGTTAGACTGATAGTGAAAGCAAAATTATTTGTCAAAAATGTTCTATAAAGAAAAAGGGAACAAGTGTTACAATGGTTGAGATATTGGCATTGTATTTTTCTGTTTATTTAGCCGTCTTTAGTGTTGATTGATCAGCGCAAAAATAATTTTCTAGTTTTATAAGTTCTCAATATCAGATAGTGCTTTGAGAGAACTTTTCATATTGTATTGTTGTTGCCTATTTATTTTGTCTGTGTAGAAAAGGCTTGTTGTTTCTAAATTACCTGAACACATTTTTTAGGGTTTTGTGATGTAAACTGGCCCTCCTTCTTCAATTGAATACAATACGTTTGTTTCATTTTTTTCACCTTAATCTTTGTAGAAATTTGTGTTACCTTTTTCGAGTGAAAAAAAAACAAGCCGTCACATGGGTTTTTCTTCTTTTTTAAAAAATTCTTATTTTCTTTTTAAAGAAATGTTTTGACTCTCCTGTTTCTTAGTTTAACCATGGCAGTACCACGCAAATAGCCTGATTTGACAGGCTGGCATTCCAATGAAGCAGGAAAAAATTAATCCTGATTGGCATTTGTTTCTTGTCCTTTCCAGACCCACTTGTACAGATCAGCATTGACAACTCCAGAGGCATCCTCTACGCTAGGACACAGAAGGGAACCATCCAGGTCTTGTTCTCTTTCTGCATGGCTATTGGTTACCCGTAATACCTTTGACTGTTCAGAATCAGTTATAAATTCTCTTAACCATTTTTGTCTGAATGATTGCTCATTCAACATCTATTGGAGTCTTTTAAGTAATGAGTGCCAAAGTAAGCTGTTGTTGAGTATTGAATGCATGTTTAGTTCAAGTATGTTAAGCATTAATGTTATTAAACATTTTCAGTTTTATTTTACTGTATATCTAGAACGCCCATGCTCAATACCTGTTGTGTAATATTTTCTGTGCTATACAATTGTTTTTAACTTTCTAAAGTTAAAATTTTTATTGTCATTTATAACAGTTGTTTTAAATGGAAAATATATTTACACCGAATTTTAATATTTTAGCATTTTAAAGTCTAATAGTTAACCAATCGTGCAGTGAACTTTTGCGAAAGTAAACAACTTGTGTTTCGCGCGCTCATATGACCTTACGAGCGTTGTAAAACCCTATACTACCACTACTAACTTTCTAAAGACAAACCGGCTGCTGTCGTGTAGTTATTTGGTGCTTTGGTGTTGCATGCAAGATACCCGAGGTGGATTCCTGAGTGGAGATAAATTTTTATTGAGTATCTCAATCTTTTTGCTGTGATGTTGCTTCCCTCTCAGCTCCGGTTAGCCCTGATAGTTTTGAATACCATTGTGCAGGTAAAAAGAACAAATTGAGAGCAAAAACATTCGGAAATTGACTTATATTATCCTTTTTTGAACCCCAGATCATTCAGAACAACAAGAGCGTCTAAAAAGGTTATTCGAATGAGCATAACTACTCGTAATGTCTTATCACAGCTTATAAGAGGCTGTTATTCATGTGTTCGTAACACTTCATAAATAGAAAGCTATAAAAGATAGAGCGTTATTTTCATCTTCGATGAACACACTACCTCGGGATTCGCGGGGAAAAGAAGTTTTCAGGCCCGCTCGCTGTACGCCAACAGTACACACTGAGTGACCCCGGCGGCCCGCCCGGAATGTCCAAAGTGATAGGTTGCTGATAAGATTCGCATCTCGGCGCAAGAAGCAGGACAAGAGTTAAAAAGAAAAACAAAGATCTCATACAATGAGTTCCCATTCATACATCCTTTTGTCTTTTGTCTTGGTTACTGACCTTTGTGAAAACATGGACACCCATTTTCAGTACTTGATTGTCCCTTGTGAATTATTTTTTATGTACTAATCAGGTCTGTTACAAAGTAAAGAGACTGTTTTAAGTCAATTGTAGGTAGGTCCCTCTAATTTGTATAAGATTCTTCTTCTCCCAGCACTCATATTTTTGCCTGAGTCCTGTGTACATGGTTCATGAGTGGTGACCCTTGTATGAGTGTTTGATAATAAGGAAGAAAGAAAAACAGCCACTCAAAACCTCACAGTATTTCATTGTAAAATGCAATCTTTCACAGGTGTTTGACCTGGGTGAAGACAGCAAAGGGATGGGAAGAATAGCATCCCAGTCACAGGCCAGCATCATGAGCGTTGCTGGGAACGTTGCCAGGTAGGTCTTAAGTTCTTATGCAAGTCAGAAAATTGGATGGTTGGCTGGTGCTCTGGTGTGATTTGCTCCTTATTTGTAACAAACGTCTATCGCCCTTATCTGTATTCCTTTTTTGTGTTTGTTACTCTCTTGAAACAACTCTAATCTTTGGCACTTAAATGACCTAACTATTGGAAGTGCTGTTAAATGCTTACTAAAACAGAAAACTAAAAAAAACATCGATTGTCCTTATCTTTTCTCCTCCTTTATATGGGGGGGGGGGGGGGGGGGGGGGGGTTCTGCAGCATTTGTATGATTTACTAAACTTATGTTGCAAATGTTGTAAAATATTTACTAAAGCTTAAACCTAACTTGTCAGAAAAGGAATCATGAACTCTTATTAGTCTATAAGTCTGCTAAAGAAAGGAATCATGTAATTTTTCTTTCAGAATTGAGGGACCAAACCTTTACTCCCTCCATAAGATTTTGTTGGGACTAGTATCTGTCAATGACTGATTCGGGGGATCTCATTTTTGTTTTGGTTTTACCATTGTCTCCTTTGAATATAATATATTACATCTGTCTTTTTTTGGTGGGTGGTACATTTGACCACGGTCACAAGTCATTTCTGTTGCCAGTGTTTGATTCCTACCCACAACTGACTGAACAAGTTAATGCAAAACAAAGAACAAAGGACCAAAAGCAAGGCAAAGTAATAGGATTTGAAATATGTATATTATTTCCATGATTTGGAACCAAACAGTACTGTGTCTGACCTCCTGGGTTTGATGGTGTATTGGGTGATGGTTGTTCTGTGAGTTGTTTCAGCTGGGCACTGTGTTATGGTAGACATTGGTGATAGTTTGGATGTCCCTTGCCCTGGAACGGCCCTGAGTTCTGTAGTAGGAAATGTTAAACTCAGCCCAAGACCTGGTTTTATATTTTTGATGTGGCTCATGTTTAGCTCAGAATAAAATTTCTCTATTTTGAGTTACATGGTCGCTTTTAAGGACAAACAGGTAAACAAGATTTTGAAGGATTCCCGAATTCTTGACGTACAGCAAAAGTGGGAATTGCCCTACCTATAGGAGCAGTTTGGTTTCATTGGTGTGTATATTTGTTTGGTTAAAGAGACTCTTCTTGTCTTTTAAAGAAACTGTATAAGGGTCCAAAAACTTTTACCTTCGATTTTCTCAAAACAGCTTTTTTTGGGATAGCCCGTTTGTGCTTAAAAGCGACTATTTATGTTTATGATTTGGATCTGGGTTGTCATTCTGTTTCCAGAAACATTGAGAAGTCTCACTTCAAGTCGATTGTGTACATAGCAGCTGTGGCAGAGTCTGAATCAGAGGCAGTCAACTTGGTGGCAGTGACAGAGTCAGGTATGTCTTTTGTTGAATGAGTTTAACAAAATATTGTATGAAAGTAGCTCTTTGAGAAGACATGCTCATACTGGGTTTCATTCCAAGATCTCGTTTTTTAAAGTTGGACAAATCAAGGAAATGAGCTTGGAAAAGGTTAAGCTGAAAAACTTACTGTTGAGAGGTAAAATTGAAATGGTCCCCTAGTTGCTTTGATGTTCAGATACTTTCACATGTTGTAATTGTTTAATTTTTCTGGTTTGAACTGCATCAACTTTGCATCCATTATGAGTAACCTAGTTGAAGAAAATTACATGAAATGACAGTGATGAAGATATGGATATTTTTTAATATTTTGTTTTTAATCTGTCATCTTTCACCACTGTTGGATGTAGTCTTTTCTTTTTCCATCACTTGCTAATTTGGTCTTGTTTGATTCTACTTTTGATCAGAAGAGTGCTGATTCGTTTAAAAATCACCAATTTCGTTTCGATTTGTGCAAATTCTTTTCCAATAGGTTTATGAAGCAAAATTGTGAAGTGCTAGACGAAAACTTCAAATGCATAAAAAATATTTGATGTCATTTCCCCAGGTGTACGGCTGTACTTTACCACTGCTCCCTTCAAGCAGTCCTCTCGCCGACCTAGTACCCTGTCTCTGGTCCACGTGCGGCTACCACCAGGATTCTCCGCCACTTCCACTCCCCAGCCCGCTAATGTTCACACAGCTTTCCACAGTAAAGGTGAGCTGCAGACACCAATGATTTTGTTTTCTCCTCTCATATTTGGCATAATGTTCTTTTTGCAAAAAAAGCTAGCTGCTTTAGTGGCACAATTTGTATGTACAAGATACGACACTCTGTAGGTGGTTAAAGAATGCGGATTCTCACAATCTGAAAAGGCTGTCTTTTGTGTCTGTTATCAAAGGTATATGTTTCATGCTCTGTCAAATTGTCAATTTTTTTAAAGACATGGAGCAAAATGTTTGTGGGAAAGAAAACATTAATTTTGACAAGAACACAGGCCAAGTTGCAAGAAAGACCAGGATTCTCTTTCAGCTGCAGATGAATTCTTCCCACAACAAATAATGATGAGTGACTAAAAGTTCAAGCCTTTGTTAATTTTGTTTGTTTGCTTTGTTGTCACAGACCAACAGTTTTGTACATTGTGTTCGAGGCGACAACAGATGTGATAACAAATAATGCCATTAATTCTTCACCAGGCACACTGCTCCTTGTGGCCAGCCAAGCCAAGGACAATGACTTGTTGTGGACCATCAGCTCAGACTCTTTTCCTTTTCACAAGCAGCTCATGGAAGCTCATGTAAGTGTTACGATCAGGTCAGAGGCTTAGGAATAACGTTTATCAATTGAATAACTGGAAGTGCAGTCGAAATTGTCAAAGACGGCCATCCATTGCACAGGAGAAAAGTAGCTCTGTCTTATACAAGTGGACGTTTTACACAGTCTCAGTATAATATTAAAAAATACGCGAGGGGAGAAACGGGAGGTGGTAGTTTGTACAGGTGATTGTGTTATACAGGTAGTGGTTACAGCAGGTTCGACTGTCTTAGTTTTGTTTTATATTTATGTGTTGAAATATGACATCAAATACTTTATTTCTCCTTCATTATGAGATACCTGACATAGGTACCGCCGTCTGTGGTGTAGTGATTTGGTGCTTTGTCGTCGCATTCAGAAAACCTGAATTGGATGTTGTATCCCTCTCACCCAGGTTGGCCCTGACAGGCAGCGTCAAAGCCCGCATCCTAAATGATCCAAATAGTATTTACGCCCCCATTTACAACCTCTCTCAGCTCCCCTAAGACCTGTCTCCTCTTCCTTTCCTACTGTCCCCTTTCTTTAGTTCCCCACTCTTCCATGCAATGTGATGGTAATCAGTTTTTGAATTTAATTTTATATCCACACGAATTTCAGACGGATGTCTACCTTTGCATTTGGGGTACAATTCTGGGGGTAGTGGTGAATGCTTTTCTGTGGTCTGCTTTTCTGCTTCTTTTTTCTGTGTTTTTATTATACTGATTTGTTCTTGGTGAAATGTGAATGTTATTATACTGTCATTCTGATAACTGCAACTCTACTTCATGTGTAGACCATAATTCTTGATGCACCTCATTTTGATGGCACTGCTGAATACAGATTTTGTTCTTGTTTTTTTCCCAGACAACCCTGCCTGTTGGAGGCAAGACTTGGGCCATTGACGAGGTTACGTTTCGGTCGCAGCCACAGAGACAGCTGACGGTTGGCGGGAAGCGGTCGCCCATCGAGCCGCCCAGCGTGGTCACCCAGCATGCACTCCCCCCTCGTCGCTTTGTCATCCTCAGCGCTCAGGGTGTTCACATCCTCCAGAAGCTGAGGCCTGTGGAACAGCTAAAAATGCTGATGATCGAGTGTGGAGGCCCAGATGCTGAGCAAGTGAAGGCTTTCTTTAGACTGCACAAGGTGAAGAGAATAGTCCAGCATTTCTCCCCTCTTTCTTAGCCTAGAAGAGTCTTGTTATTAACAAATTAGAAAAATAGTTTAGTTACTAATACAACAGATAAAAGTTGTTTGAACTACAGAAAAAGATGTATGTCACGATGCGGTGGAATCAGGTAGTTGTCAATTTTTAGGCATGTGGAGTTGTTGGTATCATCTTAAAACTTGTTAATTTGTCTTACTTTCAATAAAAATAATACCCATCCTTCTTGAATAGAAGTCGAGATATTTGCTATGGAAGGAGGTGAGGATCGTGTGGTTTCAGAGGTAAAAATGTACCTTTGTAGATGCAGGCTGTCCCAGTTGTCTCAGGACTGTCTCAGTTTAGCTGTTGAAAATTTGAGAGGGTATTATAGCCACCACCACTCCACTGTTACTGTATAATCTGATGTTATAATGTTTGAAGTCCTTGATTATGCTTTGAAAAAGTTGGGTTGCCTGCATACGCCATTATGTTTTTGTCGCAACTTTTCACCTATTGGGCAAGATGAATACATACTGTGATGTATTGTTTTATATGTTTCCCATCCTTTTGTGTCATTTTGTGTTCAGAACTGAGCATGCTATTAAAACTTGTCTAATGGTGTTGCTTCTCCAGTGTAATGTACCCTTGCTGTCAGTTTATGAGTGTGGTCACCTTTTAATAATGGTTTATGAGTATGTATATTATTGTCCATAGTTCAAATTGTCGTTACTCTTGTCATGGGTCGGTGCTATAGTGTCATTCAATTTTTCAAATCATTCTTGTCTCCAGATTGACCAAGCTTGTGCCACATGTCTAGTTTTAGCGTGTTCTAGATCAACAGCTGACCAAGAGGTAAGGAACTCTTTATTTTCAATGTGTAAAGAAAAAAGTGTCAAGTGATATGTTAAATCTTTGAGACTTTGGTATTAAGAGAGTGAAGAATGGCATGCTGTCACAGCATAGTATAGACAAGATAACTTTTTTAAAAGACAAGTATCAAGTAACGTAATGTTTATTGCCTCTGTGTTAACTATAACTGTTACAAGGTCTTTTTCTTTTTTTCTTTTTATTAAATAGTCTTCGAAAAGTTAACTTCTTAAGTAAAAACCGCAAGAAAAAAACATTAGGCTAAGTTCAGTAATTATATGGGTTGAAATTGATTTGATTTGACTATTGAGCCTATCTTGTTATTGTTTTTTTTTTTGGGGGGGGGGGGTTTATACAGTCAAAATTGTCTAAGATAGTTAGCCATTGTAGGGGAGAAAAGTGATTGTCTTAGAAAGGTGGACATTTTTCATAGTGTCATTATATTGTAAATAATACGCAATAGAAAGTGGCTGTTTCATCAGGTAATTGTCATATACAGGTGGCCATCAGAGCAGGATTGACTGTACTCACTGTTGCTATATATTTGTTCTTCATCAACCTTTCTACAGGTGTGTGATTGGGCAAGAATGGCATTTTTCATGTATGGAGGAGAGGCCCAGTACAATTTCTCAGGGATTCGACCCCCAGGTTTACACAACACATCTTTTGGTGCAGGTACGTACTGCTTTTTGTCATGTTTTTCCCCTCAAGTCAATCTTGTCATAGTGGTAAAAAGTCAAAAGGCTCAAGGGATAACACATTCAATATGACAACTGTTCAAATTTGAGAAGTCCACAGATGGACATCTTCAGTAGTTGAGCATAATTTTGTGGGTTTTAAAATGCTGAGAAAAGTGGAAATTGTGTAGTCTTACCTTTTCTTTCAGTACTAGGATCTGCTGCTAAGGATTTTTGTTGTAAGGGCTGTAAATCTTTTTTTCCCCTCTTTCTTTGTCAATAAAATGCAATATTAGTTTACTCTAGTCAGATTGTACTTGTCCATTTATTTCGAAGAGCACTGGGGAAAAATGGCATTAGTCATTTTGTTTTTGTGTGCCTGTTTTGATCTCTTGTGTGACGTGTTTTATTTTTTCCACTTATACTTTTAAAAAAATCAGTAACAGCTTTACTCTTTCTATCCGGGCTACGAGTGTATTCATAACATGGACCGGTCCGGGCTACGAGTATACTCGAAACAGCTATACGGTCTCGTCAAAGAAGCTAGTTCTGTTTGTAATTCCCAAAATACGCAAATACGACAATGTTTGAATATTTAAATTTTCTAATGAACAGCAGTTTCTTTATTTTTGATGTGTGTAGAAGCTTGAATGATGTCTCGAAAACGCACATTCACGACTGACGGAGTACTTTTAAAAATTGGGCTGGGTTGTGAGGGGGAATGTTACTAATTTGATGAAAGTGACCCTGAAACAAGTACGTAAATTCTGTTGTGGATGTTAAGAAACAGGACTTAGACTCATCTAATAGCGATTCAGATCATGGTGAAGGGGTCAGTACTGGAATCCTTGCTGTATCGATGGGTAGGGCTAGGTCTAGATCTATAAAATCCAATGGGACGTCGTGAGCGCGGCAATCAGAGTCACGTTGGAGGGTGGAATACACCTAAAAATCTACATTGTGCATTTGGTGTAATTCATAACTACATACATTTACAAAAACTACATTTAATTTCTAACATAACTGCCAAACTTCCGTAAAACCTAAGAGTAAATGTAAGAAATATAGCACTTTGAAATATATGCACTGACTTCCAACTCATACGGCGCGGCGGCCCCATGACGGGTACAGAGTCCGTGGGGGTACGGCTAGGATAAACAGAGTTAAGTCACTTATTACAGCAGTTGTACATGAACAGAATGACGGGCCCATATGAACATGTAATGTAAAAGAAAGTTAATAGTCCTCAATATTTTTTGCTATAACTAATGCCAATATTCTCCTGAGATCTTCAAGTCTTTTTACCGCTTGACGTCTGTTCCCCAGGACCCGGTGGTCTGTCCAGCACTGTCATGTACAGTCCAGGCTCAATGGGCACCTCCCTCATGCCAGGCTCCCCAGTCCACAGTAAGTTTTCACCCCCTCTCTTCTGTTGTTTTTGTGCTTGAACACTGCAGCAGTGAGTTCTGCTCTTCCTATTTCTTCCTAGTATTTCTGTTACTGTCCACCAATCTATTGTACTATCTCTCCTTCTTTTATTTGTATGATATTGTCTTGTAACAACTCTCATCTTCAGCGCTTATATGACCTAATTATGTTACTAGTGCTGTAAAATTTTCATAACTAAAACTGTCCTGGAATAAATAAAATAAATAATGTTCTTTGTGAATTATTGCCAGTCTTGCTGACTTGTCATGTTGCTGTTGTTGTTTTCAAGTCCCTTTAGCTGTGAGCATTTCGCTCTTGGCAGCGCAATGCCTCCCTCAATAAACCACATGTCCTAAGTCGTAGAGGCATTTCATTGGTTTGGGGGTTGTAAAGGCTTGTATGCATCCCTGTAGGATCTCAGGCAGATGATAGTCTTGTCCTGACACTGGCTTGTGCCCAAACATCTTGCCACAAGAGAACAAAGCTGCAATGTTCACTGTCTTGTTTTCCATGGACCTTCAGAGGGATTTCTTAGATAATAGACAATTATAGGGGGTGTAGGCACACTGTAGGTCTGAGAGATGAGAGCCACAAAGTGCAACCATTTACCAGTGATCGTCTTAGCAGTCCAGTAAGGGGTCCTATTGAGCAAGGGGTAATGGGTTCCTTCCACAGCGAGTCGTCTACATCATCAAGCGTAGTTTGCGTTTGCCCAATCCTCGCCACCTGCTATCTCCTGGCTATCTGCTGTTAACATTTCTGTTCACGGAGTAGAATAACCCAAGGGATGGCCAAATCTACTAAGCCGGGATCGTCACGTCATGGATCAGCGAGCATTTGCAGGGATATCTGTAGGGACGTCATGTGTTTCCAGGCAGCCCATTTGTTACTGCCTTCTGTGTCTGCGGAGACATCTCACGATGAGTCATCTGGCAGTCTGTGGGTACCATGCCCCATCTGTAGAGCTCCCACAAGAGGGAGGGAAGAAGATGTAGACAGTGAGTTCCTGAATGAACAGGTCGGCCTGCTGTGACGCCAGACCTACCATAATGGTGGATGTGTACCGACCCTTCTACGGGCCGAAGGTTCATTGCTCACATCGCACCTCGCAGGGCTATGGTACTTCCTAGCCACAGTGCAGGGGTCCCCAGGCTGCTCGACGGGGATGGGAAGTTGAGTTAGTTACGGCTGGCTTGCCAGAGAGCGTCTGGGGTTTCACCCTCAAGCAGGCTTGCCAACCTTCCTGAATTTTTCACGAAATTCCAGAATTGCCATCGTCGCGCAATGTCTCCCCCCCACCCCCACCGCCCCCTAAAAAAATTATTATTTTTTCTTTAAAAAGGCATTGAAATGCTGAGGACGAAGGAATATTTGAATATGTGTAGTAGCTGTACTGTTACATTCTCATCTCTCTCTCTCTCTCTCTGTTTCTCCACTGGTTTGTTTGAGCTGTTTTTGTGGTATGGGTGGGTTTTTTTAGTAGCCTATCACAGAAGTGGGTGTCTGTGGCGCTCAGGAGCAATCAAAATTCCTGAATTCTGTGTCTCAAAAGTTGGCAAGCCTGCCCTCAAGCCTTACAGCTCCTGACTTGTCATAGACTTCAGCCTTTTACGTTTCCGCAGAACCCAGGATGAGGGGATACAATGTCCGAGCGGATGAGATAATAAAAACCTCCCTGCATGGAAATCGAATCAACATTTTCTGTGTGCTATGCGAAATGCGTATTTGCTAGATCATAGACACCAGTGTTCCACAGTATATTTTCTTATATTGTTGGTGGAGTACAGGAACCATGTAATACTCAAAATTTCCCATACTTGATGGAGGTAGACATTTTCTGGCATGCAGTCCACAATTTGTCGACTTTTCTTTTTGCCCAGAATTCAGTTAAAATTAGAAATGAACTAAATTTCGGTGATCTTTCACAATACCTCGATTGAAATTGTCCCTCTCTACTCTCTACTATATATGCTACTGTCTGTGATGAAAATCGAACATTTGAAGTTTATTACCAATGCAGGAACAATGATGTATGGAGTATGTCAGCTATTCTGTTGTCACACATGGCTTGGCTTGACTAGAGAAGCAGGAGTGAAGCTACTGACCTCCGTAATTTATATTGACAATAGCTCGTTCATCAATGTCTGACCATGAATACTTTTCCAGTGAAATGGAAGAATTTGAAGAATTTATAGATTTTAAGATGACTTGTGGCAGATGAAGACCAATTATGGCAGAGAAAAGTTTGCCACATTTTGAATATTTAAAAACTCCACTTCCACTGCGGATGTGGGCTTCTCTCTTCGTGTCAGCATAATATATATTTAGCTTTTATATTTAATGCTTTGACGGGTGCTTGATACATTGATGGGTTCTCGATACATTTAACTGAAAACTTTTGTCATCTCTATGTTTAGATGCCCCGCCCCTCCACATGTCAACTCCAGCACCAGGCATGCTGGCTCAGATGCCTCAGACCATGGGCCAGGGTTCGAGCCCCGGCCAGGATGTCATGTACTCCGGCAAGCACAACGGCATCTACATTTGCCTGAGCCGAATCCTTCGACCGTTCTGGGACTTCCCGGTCTGCACAGAGTTTGTGTGCGCCACTAAGCAGGGCACTGTTACTTACGTGAGTTTTGAGCACTCTTGAAACTGAATTTAGAAGTGAACCAAAGATGGGAAAAAATTAGTTTATGGAGGTTTTAAGGAATTTTAAAAAAAGATGACATGTATAGCGGTCACCAATATAACAGCTCAAACTGAGATCAAAGCTGGGCGTTTGCTCCTTTTTTTACGCGTAAAGATTAAAGTGTCTTCGTCAAGGACTCGCCCTACAGACCACCCACCTTTGTGCTCCTTATGTCTATGCCCTATTTGTAGCATGTAAATGTGTAAAAAATCTACATGAGACCCCTTCCCTAATTCTTAAAAAAAGTTAAAAGTGTCTTTCATGCATGACATTACAATTATCCAAATGTAGTCCCACCTTGAGTGGAGACCCCAGAGATGTGTGTAGTAAGTCAAGTAGGTTTCGAATGGAGGGCTCAAACAAATTCACGGCAATGACTTTTTTGCCATCCCCCCTTCAGCTGACCAGCACATTCAACACAGAGGAGTTGTGCGTAGCTCTGAAGCTGGTCAGGGACCTCTCTGACTTTGTGGACTTCAACTCCAAGTTTGATCTGGATTCACAGGCAGACACGTAAGTTTTGCAAGCAGTTGTTGTAGACAGAACTTTTTTTCCTTTGGCTGTTTTGCTGTGCTGTACAGATGGTTGTGTGCCCCTGTTTGTGAGGATGGCTTGCCTGTGTTAGTGCTTGATACAGCTGCTTAATTCTCAGGTAAAGCTCACGTCCTGATGTGAATACTGAGAACAGCTCCTACGTGAAAAGTTTTATTACTTTGTAAGTGAATTTAGTGTTTTCTTTCCTTTCTTTCTTTCTTTCCTCCTTCCTTCCTCCCTTCCATTTAGGCCAAGTACCCCCTTGGGGCAGTGCCACTGACCGAAGTGTCTTTAGGCCATTCTCAAAGGGGGGACATTTCTCGTTCTAGTGCACAGTAGAATTGTAAATGGGCTGATCTAACAATGTCATGCTCATAACTGTGCCTGAACTAGAACAGGGAACTGCTGCTTTTTCTTTCCTAATCATTACTATTGTCATTTCCCTCTACTCCTTTTGTATGTTTGTCACACTCTTGTGACCCGCTATTTCCGGAGTGCCTTGATAGTCGAAGCAGACTTTCTGCTGCTGAAGCTAGAGAGGTGAGCAGAGTAAGTCTGATTCTCTGTAAGAACTTCTCTGTTGACATCCCCCCATTAGCGCTCATATGACCGTATGCAGTTGCAAGCGCCGTAAAACCTCTACTAAAACTAAACTTAGGCTAAGTGACAGACTGTCAAAGTGACTGACAGATCGATGCCCTTGGTGGTGAGAGACATGAGACTTATGCTTGTTTCTCCGGTTGTAGTTGTCACTGCTTGTAGATACTGGCCAGTCTGTGTTCCAAAGTTCTTGTGGTAATAATTTGACACATGCTTTTATGTGATATTAATTTTACATGTGCTTTTATAGATATTTATTGTACATATGCTTTTTTAAGATGTTAATTGTACATGTATTTTTATATGATATTAATTCAGCATGTCCTATTTTGCCATTGTAGTATGAATATGGGACGAGGTGGGCGGTTTGACGGAGGGATGGACGAACACACAAGGAAGTGTCTCCAGGCAGAGGTACAGCGGATGGAGAAGATCTCGCTGCAACACGTTCAGGAGCTGCTGCATCGCGTGGAGGAAGTGCTGGGCCTCTGGAGGGTGCTCATTGACCACCAGTTCCACACACTGGCCGCCACCATGACACAGGTATGCTTGCTCGTCAACCGGCCCAAAGTGGTGTGGTATTCGAGAATTTGGCGTTTTGAAATCTTGGATTTTAGGTATTCGAAAATTTGGCGTTTTGAAATCTTGGATTTTAGGTATTCGAGAATTTGGCGTTTTGAAATCTTGGATTTTAGGTATTCAAGAATTTGGCATTTTGAAATCTTGGATTTTAGGTATTCAAGAATTTGGCGTTTTGAAATCTTGGATTTTAGGTATTCGAGAATTTGGCGTTTTGAAATCTTGGATTTTAGGTATTCAAGAATTTGGCGTTTTGAAATCTTGGATTTTAGGTATTCAAGAATTTGGATATTGGGTATTGAAGAATTTGGATCTTGGAAATCTTGGGATTTTGATCTTTACCCTGGACTATTATTCTGATGATATTAAGAAAATGAATATGCCAACACAGGTGTGCTTTCTTATTTAACTGTTCAAATTGGTCTGGTTTTCAAGAATCTGACTTTTACAAATCTTGGATTTTGATCTTTACCCTTTACTTCTATTCTGATATTAAGAAATTGAATATGTCAACTCATATTTCTGATTTTGATTTGTTGTTACTAGTTCCCGTTGTTGTGTTGGTGAAATTACTTTTTGGGATTTATTTTTTTACAGGAATTACAGAATCAGCTGAGAGCTATGACACTCAAGACTCTTGTGATTGGAGGAAAAGAGGTTAGTTTCTGGCCAGGCTTAAATCATGTCATCATAACTGTCATAACATCTGTCCTACTGGTCTAAATAACTCCGAGAAAGATAAGTAACTGAAGAATTTTCAGGTTTTTTTCTAGCCCAAAACCCAAACAAGTTCCTAGCAGTGGGCTAAAGTTTACACCTTTATGATTTTTAGTTGGCCAATACAGAATCTCAAGTGGGGAGAAATGGAATGAGTTTCTACAGTCTTATCTCCACCGACAGATGTTTGCCTGTTCATACTTACCAGTGAAAACATAGGTGAACAGGAAATAAATATTTTAAAATGATTCCTTTCCCCCCAGATGTGCAATACCTTGGTGAACTGTTTAATAAGTCGCTATCTGGATGACAACGCTACTGTGGATGCTATCAGTGCCAAACTGAGAGAGGTGTGCCCCAACCTGTACAGTACTGATGATGCCACTTGCTCAAAGGTAACACTGCAGCCCTCATTTCGTAGTCCATGTAAAGCGCACCTGTCTATATCTGTAATAAACTTCACAGATATTATTGAAGAGTCAACCGGAAAAAACATAGTCACAAAATGGAAATCGTAAAGATATTAATTTTGTAAGCTTGTAGACTCATAACTACATTTCTGTTTGACTGTTGGTTTATTTAGTATAATTAGCGCCCCTCTTTGTTTTTTGTTTTGTTTGTATGATCTTTTTCTTAGATGAGATGAGAACATGAACTTGGATGCCAATAGGGAAATTTTTTTGTCAGGACAGTTCAGTAAGTGATGAATTCAGAAGACACATCAGCAACATTTTTCTTCTGTTTGTTTGTTACTATATCCTATTTATTGTCAGTGCTACCGTAAGCGGACAAAACGCCTTTGTTCACGTTGGCGCAAAAGTTTTTTATCTGCTTAATAAAATCAAAAGCCAGATCAGTTAACCTATTTGTGTGAAAAAAATCAAAGTGAAATTCAAATTTCAACAGAATGCTATTTTAAAAATGGTTGCACCGACAAATGATTGTTTTTAACTTTTAAAAAAAAATCCATGACTTTTCAGTCCAACGAGTTGCTGCAGGCTGCGAAGGTGAACCAGAACATGTTGGAGAAACAGCACCAGCTCCAGGAAGCCCTGAGTCGGCTGAAGGCCGTGAACCAGCCCCTGAACCTGTCGGTCATCTGCTCCCAGCTGGCCAGCGTCCACTTTTACCTGGGCATTGTGGAGCTGGGCTTGAACGAGGCCCGTAAGGTGGACCCTCAGCAGCTGGCCATCCACTTCTACCAGAACGGAGAACCCCAGGAGGACATCCAGGGCATGCAGGGATACCTGGCCAGGTATGCTTTTGTCTCTCTTTATTTGTGGCTTTTTGCTCCTTTTCCTCTTTTACCAAATGTCACACGTGACGTTTTGTTGCTGATGCATGGCACAGGGGAAAAACAATTCTATAAGGACTTTGGAAAGCTATACTCCAAATGGTACGTGACCTAGAGGACGGACGTTGGATTACACTTTAATATGTTTACATTATTCTGGTTTCAGTATTTTTCAGCGAAATAATAATAGTTTGTGGGCTCTCATGGTCTAGAGGTTAAGGTGGTTTGCCTCTCGTTCAATAGGTCCCGGGTTCGAATCTGGAGTAGTGATGGAAAAAACCCCCGGGACTGCAGGCCCAGTTCGGCAGATGCGTGATTTCCAGTCTTTTGTGTTCGACCTATCTATGTTATATTGAATGTGTCACTGACTGAAGTGTCTTTAGGCCATTCCCAAAGGGGGGACATTTCTCGTTCTAATGCACAGTAGAATTGTAAATGGGCTGATCCAACAATGTTATGCTCATAACTGTGCCTGAACTACAACAGGGAGCTGCTGCTTTTTCATTTCTAATCCTTACTATCGTCGTTTTACTCTACTTCTTTTGTATGTTTGTCACACTCTTGTGACCCGCTATTTTTGGGGTGCCTTGATAGTCGAAGTAGACTTTGTGCTGTTGAAGCTAGAGATGTGAGCAGAGTAAGCCTGATTCCCTGTAAGGGTTTCTCTGTTGGCATCCACCCCTTGGCGCTCATATATGACCTTATGCCGTTGCGAACGCCGTAAAACCTCTGCTAAAATAAACAAACAAGGAGAATCAGGCGCTTGTCAATTTATCACTTTGCCTTGATTTTGATGATGACATCTTGCCTTGTATGAATTTTGGTACAACCTTAAAGTTTATCACTTTGCCTTGATTTTGATGGTACTATCCTGGTCTTGTATGTAGAATGGAGTGCTACAAGTGCATCACAGACACACTGAGCTACCTGTGGTCAGCCAGCGTGAGCCACCCCCAGGCCCCAAGCGTCCCCTCCCAGCCCGGACCCCCGGCCACAGCAGACAGCAGGCTCATGGACCCACAGCAGGCAGAAGTTTACGTAAGGCAGTCTGTGTGTATGTCTTGTCTGTACGGCATGCATGCCTGGAATTTCTGTGTATTATCCAGCCAGTCTATATTAACGGGTTTACAAATGGTTGAGATTGTTTTATCCATATAAAAGAGATTAGTTGGTAAGGAAGTTAAGTATATGAGATTATTGTATTTATTAAAGAGATTAGTTGGTAAAGAAGTTAGGTATATGAGATTATTTTATTTATAAAAGTGATTAAATTTGTATTAAAGTTCAATTTTTTAAAAAGGTATTAGTTTGTAGTTAAGTATGCAAAATTGTTTTGTCTAAAATGGATTCAAGTTTGTTATAAAGTTTAGTCTAAGGGATTGTTTTATTTTTAAAAGATATTTAAGATTAGCTTGCTTAGCAATATGACGTCTTATACCTCAACCTTCCGTCTATTCTTGCACGACACAGGTTGTTAGAAGGACAAAGGCTCAAAGGCTGTATGATAACACCAACAATAGATTGAGACTTGAAGTCTTGATAAGTGTTGTGTTCATTTAGAAAGCTTCTTGTCATGGCAGATGGTGCTAGAATTGCATTCTTTTATTACTGCTTCTGTTTTACAGAAAGAGGAAGTGTTCCAGGCAGCTCTTAGATGTGAGGACCCCCTTTTTCACGCAGCCCTGTACGACTGGCTTTTTGCCACCAACCATGCAGAGAAATTGCTGGAGGTAAGGTTGTTGTTTAGGGAGTTGACACAGACATTTGAATGTACCAGCACTGAAGTTCGCTTTTCTGACCCTTTTCGCGACTTTCTCCGCCATGCTGCACAGTTTAGAAACTCTCATGTATTGTTGGAAACCAAATGTCTGAAAGCACACAGTGACAGCGGAGCGGGTTTGCCGAGTAATCTATAAATATATCACCTTGCACGTTGCATTTAGCTATACATTTCTGTTTAGCACGATGTGCATACAAAATCCGGTTCTGGTTTGCACGCAGTTAGGGCCTGTATAGTTAACTGCGTTTAAGCTCTAAGCGCACTTAAGCTAACCGATTCTGACGTGCATACAGGCCCAGATTGTTACGCACACTTAATTTATTCCAATTGAAGTTTTTTGGGGTTTTTTTCAAGTAAAGGCAATGGCCTTTGAAGGCTTTTCACCTAATCATAATATAATATCTGTTCACTATCCCCCAGGGCTGTAGTGTCTTTAGGCCATTCCCAAAGAGGGGATATTTCTCGTTCAAGCACAGTAGAATTGTAAATGGGCTGATTCATGTCATGCTCATAACTGTGCCTGATCTACAACAGGGAACTGCTGCTTTATCTTTCTTAATCCTTACTATTGTCATTTGCCTCTACTTCTTTTGTATGGTTGTCACTCTCTTGTGACTTGCTATTTCCGCGGTGCCTTGATAGTCGAAGCAGACCTTGTGCTGTTGAAGCTAGAGAGGTGAGCAGAATAAGTCTGATTCCCTGTAAAGACCTCTGTTGACACCCACCCCTTGGCGCTCATATGACCTTATGCAGTTGCGAGCGCTGTAAAACCCTCTACTATATTTAAAAAAAACTATATAAAAAAATATATCTGTTCACTAAGGTATTTAGAGTGATTTTGGTATATCTATTTTGGTTGGTGCTATTTTTTTTCCTTTCCCTCTTGTTTCTGTGTGTCTTGTCTTGTTTTTTCACAGCACTCCAAATGGACATTATTGTGTTGGATCTCTTCTCTAATCTCAAGTTAAAAACTAAATTCAATGTGCGCAGTTGGCGGGTGCTCTTGTGTGGTTTGCTCCTTCTTTGCTATCAAACATCTATCATCTTACTCTCCTCCTTTTTTTCTGTGTATGTTACTTTCTTGTAAAACCTCTCATTTTCGGCACATATATGATGTAATTGTGATGCAAGTGCCGGAAAAAACTGACTTAAACTGAAACTAAATTCAATGTCGTATTTATTATTGTGACTGCCAGACTACGTTTAATTTTTATTTCTCCATGCACCCAATGTTTCAAAATAGATCATGCTTACTTTTTCAGGTGAATACTTCGTATGTAGAGATCATGCTTACTTTTTCAGGTGAATACTCTGTATGTAGAGATCATGCTTACTTTTTCAGGTGAATACTCCGTATGTAGAGATCATGCTTACTTTTTCAGGTGAATACTCCGTATGTAGAGATCATGCTTACTTTTTCAGGTGAATACTCTGTATGGAGAGATCATGCTTACTTTTTCAGGTGAATACTCCGTATGTAGAGATCATCCTTACTTTTTCAGGTGAATACTCCGTATGTAGAGCAGTACTTGCGTCGGAAAGTGAACCTCCAGACTGACAACACCAGTGCCCTGGACATGCTGTGGAAACATTACGAAAAGACAGAAAATTTCCCTGCAGCGACTCGTATCTTGGCTCAGCTGGCTGAAAGGCAGGGGTAAGGAGTTGATGTTGGCCTGTTAAAATGATTTCCTTTGCTGTAATAGTAGATTGGGGGGGGGAAGGGGGGGGGGGAGGCTCAGAGAGATTTTGGGAAGTGTCAAGTGCATGTCATGTTTTTCTGGACCTTTGTTGATGGATGTAGGCTTCAGTTTACTGTTCTCTCGTAGAGGAATAAACTTTAGGGGAAAAAAATGTCACAGTGTTGAGAGCAATATTGAGTGTCTAAGGATTGACCAATGACCTACATTGTGTCAATGGAGATATTAAATGCTTACTATGAAAAGTGGTTGTTACATCTGCAAGCTGAAGATTTCCACACTCCTGGCCATTTTCTTGTCTGAAATGTTCTTTTTGCCTGTTTTTTCTATGCTGGTGATTAGAGGGCGCCACTGGCAGGTCCTTTTTTTTTCTTTCCCTCTGTTATTTGTCAGTCTATCTTGGTTTTTGGGTGGGTTTTTTTTTTTTTTGCAGCACTTTAAATGGCCATTATTGTTTGTGTGTACTTTTCTTTACTCAAACCCATAGCTAAACTCAATATTGGTTTTTTTTTAATGTTCATTTTCTTCCCACAGGTCTAACATCAACCTAACCCAGAGGTTGGAGTATCTGTCCCGAGCTGTGATCTGCGCCAAAAGCTCCACCTCCAGGCTGGGCACCTCGGCCTCCGGCGAGTTCCTGCATGAGCTGGAGGAAAAGATGGAAGTATGATCTCGTTGCGATTCGGTCACTTTTGGTTTAATATAAATTCAAGTACAATATGTGTATTCTTTCTTTATGATAATAGATCGTCCGTTAATGTCTGACGATGACCAATACATCCGCAGAGGAGAAACATTTCTCCGGCGAAATAGAAGAATTTGAAAAATCAAAGGATATGATGGCTAGTGGCTTCTGCTGTGGCTGATGAGACTAATTCTGGCAGAGAAAAGTTTGCTTCTTTCTTAGAATGTAATGATGCACCTGTAAAAATGTGGACTGTAAACAACTAGCCCCTGCAGTCGCAAATGTGCCAATTATTCTACCTTTTCTTTTCGTTTTTCTATTATTTTTATTTGAAAAAAATGTTTTTTTCTTCTCCCAAATCCAATGTCTTTTTATGAGCATGTTCCCATTGAGGGGACAAATTTATTCTTTCCTTGGTAAGGTTGCATGAATTCCCATGCAAGTATGGGATTTATTTTTTATTTTAAATTTTTGTTTGCTACGTAGGTTTCTCGTCTCTCCTCATAAATTTTGTGTTATGTGTTGAATGTATTGCAATATAGCTATTTATGTTGTTTTTTTCCTCTTAAAGGTTGCTCGCCTGCAGATGCAAGTGTACAAGTGTCTGTCAAATATGAGGAACTCTCATGATGTGGAGGCTGCAAAGAACCGTCTGGATTCAGAACTATTGGATATTACCTCTGTGAGTCTTAAAGTAACACCCCACATATAAATGACAGGATACGCTTTAATTTTCTTTAAAAACTCTCTTGAGTCTCAATTTTTGGGTGCCGGATGGCTCTATGAAGTTACAGTTGTGGTGTTGAAGTATTTCTTAGCAGGTCGGGAGAGGCATCAGTGACAGAATTGTTGTGGTGGTTATGACAGAATTGTACTGGTGGTTTGACATCCCAGGGTCAGCTGGTAGTATTTGTCGAGCAGGCACTTCTAAAGGTTCATGAGAAAATTCCCAGGAGTCATGCCAGCATGATTCAAAGCTACCTGCTTTGTGCAGCTGATGATAGGATGAGCCTTTACATATACTTGGAAGGAGATTGTCTTTGTGCCGTTGTCCATTCAAATTATCCAAATCTTAAATGCTCTGACAGGGTCGGGTTCAGCATGTAGCGGAGTAACTCAGATTATTGTTTGGAACAATGAAACCCTAAAGCATACAAACAATTTATATGATGGAATTTGAGAATTAAATTACAGTTGATGTTGTCAACATAGCCACCCACTGTCAAGGAATAAAATTGGTTGTTTTAGACAAGGTGGACATCTTGTACAGTGTTATTAAATATTTTTCAAAACGCAAGTCAGGAAGTCGTTGTTTGTCCTGGTGATTGTTTTGTACAGGTGGCTGTTAGAGAAGGTTTGACTGCATTTGATTTACGATTGTATCTACGTGCTTCTTGGTTTCTGAATTCAGAACAACTTTTTACTGTAATCTCTTTTTGTTCCCTCTCCAGCTGTATGAAGATTTTGCTGACCGGTTTGACCTTCATGAAGTGAAGCTGGCCATTGTGCATTGCGCTGGGCTCTATGACGCAGCTCTCATTGAGAACTTGTGGCAGAATATTATTTGCAAAGGTGTGGAAAACTGTCACTTTCAGGGCATGTTTTGTTTTAAAGGATCATGGTTGTATCTGTTGTAGGATTGGATCATTTTGTTTTTTACGACTGTAAGTTTTAGCACTTGTTCAATGCATTCTCATTGATTTATAGCTGGGGGTTTTTCTTCAGTTTTTTTTCTTCTATCTTGTACTGCTCATTTCTTTTCAAAGCCAACTTTGAGACGTACTCTTTCTTAGCAAAATATTTTTCCATTTTTACTCCTTCACAGACGAATGCTGACACTTACAGCTTTCTTTGGTTTATGAAAATATGCTTTTTGATATATATGCTCCGATTCTTATCGAGAGGCAAAAAGGTAGCTTTCTGTGGGCATAAACTGATAATATAGGTAGCATTCGACTCGTGTAGCGCAAATTCCCACTCAGCAGCAAGCTCTAAATGCTTTACAATCTATTTTCTCAGCAGGCCTGATAGCATTCTGAAACAATCTCAACTTTCTGGGAAGCATACAGTGCAAGCTGCCATTTATAGGCACTAAGACAGTAGCATACTGTACACTGACTATAAGGAAGAACTCTGATGTGATACACTTGTTAAAGTAAAGGGATGTGTGCTAATCCTGAATCCATGAATTCAATTCTTTGTCTGTTTTTCCCCCAGAGATTGGCAACACAGCACAGATGCCCCAGGGTGACCGGATCACCAGTGTCAGCAACAGACTGTGTGCCATAGCCAAGTTGTACATCAACGCGGAAAGATATTTCCCTGTTGGTGAGTCACACGATAAGGCAATGACGTCTCTTTAGATTTAGACGCTCTCTCATGGAATTGTGGTTGTTATTGTGTCTTTCATTTTCTTTTTGTTTCGAAGGGAAGAACTTCCATAACTTTTATTTTTGTTTCAAATTAGAACGGCTTTTATGACATTACCGATACTTTCCACTCACGACAGAGTCATCTGGAGTTAATCTCCTGCTTCTAGCACTAATATTAAACAATAAAGTTGACCAGTGGAATAGGAAAATACGACGTCAGCTGTTACCAGCAATATAGGATTTTACGGGTTAACCATTACTTTTCTTTATGTTTTGAAGGGAAGAAAATTGTTGGGAAAAGTGTGGATATAAGCCCAGTGGATCATCAAGTCCCGTGTGAGGTCTCAAAGATATAGCTGATGTGATTTGGGATTTTTGGGGCCTTCAGGCTGTACCTTTTGGTGTATGTGAAGTCCAAATCTTTGGCGTGTCATGAGTATTGCAGGACACCAAACACTGAATTGAAGTCTTGGAAAACGTTGAGGTTCAAAATAGTGAGCCCAGCCTTGTTTTGGGACAGTAAGAGTAGAGGTACCGTATACGTCTGAAATGAAGTCTTCGCTGTGTTTAGATTTAATAAGAGTTTTACAACACTTTCAACTCACAGTAAGATCATATAAGTGCCGAAAATTAGAGGTGTTACAAGAAGAGAGTAACAAACACAGCAAAGGAGGAGAGGTAAGGATAGTAAAAGTTTGATAGGATAAAAAGAGCAAACCACATGAGAGCACCTGTCAACCACTCGCACTCTTCATTATACATCAAGTCTTAGTGTGAAATATAGGACCTCTAGATGGACTTGACTTTGGGATAAGTATTTAGATTTTAATTTAGTGAGTAATTTTGCTCCTTCTTTCTGCTGTCTTTTAGCCACACCCCTGATCTTAAGGTGGGTAAGATCTAACAGCTAGCCTTCTTGGTAAAGTGCGAAAAAAATCTTGGAGGTCTCGTGAGTAAGTTGTGCGTATTAAGGATCCCTTGGCAGTCCAAAATTGACAAGAGTATGCACCCAGGCAAAATTCAAAATTAATTCCCACCAAACTGAAAACGTGTCTAGTGCCCTTATATGACCTTATGCAGTTGCAAGCGCCGTAAAAAATGTACCAGCGACAAATTTTTAAAAATAAATGACCATTATTGTGTTGACTTGCTTTTCTTCACTCGAATAAACAAACCTGCTCACCCAGAGGCAGCCTTTCTGCCTTTCTGTTGAGAGTGTATTTGCTAACCCATCTGTTTGTGTCCACGTCGTCCCCAGCTCTGATCCTGCGCTACATGGAGCAGAAGTCTTGTGAGCTGGGCCTGGACCACCGCTGGGTCTTCCTGCTGCTGCTGGAGGTGGGCGTGGCCCCGGCCAGGCTCCTCGAGCTCTATGACAGGCTCTACAAGTCCAAGGTAAGCTCAGGAGGCTGGTGTTGGTTTTCTTGTAAACGTTTCACACCCACATATATGCAATTAAGATCACTTAGTTGTGTGTAACGTCCGAGAATGGACAGTCATAGGTCTGTGGGACACACACTGAGGAAAGTAGAGAGCCAAGAGGAGTGGAGGAGATTGGTTGTTATCTGTCTGAGGTGACACAATGGATGATAAATCTTCTGAAGCAGAAGACTGTGGTGTGTTGGAGTTGTATTTGATTGTGCGTTATGCAGCTTTGTAAAAACAGGCCCTCACTCTTCGAGGGAGGGAGGGAACATTGCACCTGTGATAAATAAAAAAGCAGAAAAAAAGGGAAAGTATCTTTCAAGGGTCTGCTATTTATTCCTGTGCTTTGTCAGACTCTATCTCTCATAATGATCTCCCTGTCGAGCCTATTATACTTTGTTATGAGTTCCTATAATTTTCTTTCATGCTGCATTACTATTTTCAACCAAATATTGCTTGATGTCTTCTCTTAAGAACTCATCTTTGTTCGACACATTTATTCAACATGGGTATATGATTGTGTGTTTCTCTTTTACATTGCATTTGGATGAACTGACTACTGAGTAGGAGGGGTGGTCGAAAGGTGTCACTGTTAGGTCTTACCTCTGTAATCTCTCTTATATTTTTTATCTGTCTTTCTCCTCGCACAGAATGATCTTTTTCGTGTCAGTAAACATTTCTTTGCTCAAAACATAATCTAAATTACATTATATTGTGTTGCAAATGTTTACTGTAATAATAGTTTTATGTCCCACATGCACCACCAGTGTCTGTAGTAGATCTGTTTTATTTTGTCTGTCTGTTCTGCTTTATCCTAACATTGAATGACTGATATCATCTATAAGTCTATATATTATATTTGTGAAAGTTCGTCACCTTGGTCACCTAAAACCACTTAACTTTCGAATTTGACAAAATTAATGGTGGTTCAGAATCATTTAAAGGGTACACAGTTTTACTGAGGAGTCTAAAGTCACTCTAGTACTTACATGCTTCTCCTTTCTTCAGAAATATCTCAGCCTAATTAATTTTCTTCACATGCTGATGTGCTTCTCTTTACTCAACAAACATCTCAGCATAACTTTGTTTTTCTCAATAACCCCAGGACATCATCTGGCAGAACCACCACAAACCCCTGCATGTCCTCACCGTGCTGCAAGCGTTCATCGACCACCTGGCCAACAAACCAAGCTACATCCCAGCCTCGGACCGCCGGCGTCTGGTCATGACCTGCCTGGACTCTGTGGCCAGCTACCTGGTGGAGCTGCAGGCCATCAGCAGCACTGACCCCCAGGTGCGATCGCTGACCGCAAGCTTCAAGGTTACGCAAGCCAAGCTGGATAGATTGTGAGAGTGGTGTGGGAAAATGTTGGAAGATGTGTGTGTGTATCTATGGGTCTGTGTGTGAGTGTGTGTATCTGTGTGGGTGTGGTGTGTATGTATCTGTGTGTGCGTGTGTGTGTGTGATGACTAACCACCACTTCAATGCCATACGAGCTTGAGGGTATTATTGAAAGTTGTGTTGTGGGTAGTTGTGATAAGTATGAAAAGTCTGTGTGTATGTGCAGTGGGTATATATATATGTATGTGTGTGAAAGTGAATATCTGCAAATGAATATCTGTGAAATGGAAAATGCCCATTACCTGACCACCCTGGGTGTGTAAAAAAAAAAGATTGATTTTGGCAATGGTTGTAGCTTTTTATATTTCATTTTGGGTCAATATTTTGTGCAACTGGAGATGGTGAAAGGCTGAGTGGCTGGAAAGACAGATGTGGGTGTCCTGTATATATTGCTTGCTAGCTTTTGCTGTTCAGTTATTGGAAACTGCAGAGCTGTGCTGACTTTTATCATGATGTGAACAAGATTTCACTCATGGCTTTATTTTATATATATTGCTTTTGTTGTTGTTGTTGTACTTGAAGTCTGTGTGTCATCAAGGTGTGACAGACTTTGAATTTTGCAAAAGCACATGCACATGGAGAAATAGATAGATAAGGCTCTAGATTTTTCTTAATTTTTTTTTCTCTACAATGTTTTATGTTTAAGGCAGCCAGAAAGAGAAGTCTGTCTGCAGTTATTATAGTCTAATTCACTGGAGTACATTTGAGGATATGATCCCTGAATGTCCACCGTTTGATGTTTAATAATTGAAGCTGCTGCAGATGTTGGTGTAATATATTATGCTTTCTGGTGCTTTGAAGTTCCTGTCTTTTCCTGCACATACAAGGCTCCCCTGAGGATAGTGCTAGGTTGGTGGTCGCAGTCTGCAAACTTAGAAATTATTTCTTCCTTCCGGGATTGCTTGGGTTTTTATTCTTATGTCTTGAGATGCTATATTACTGAGCATCACACACCTTGTTGACTTGTAAGATAGCATTTTCATGAAAAATAAAAGGCTAGATTCTGTTGTTTTTTCTTCTTCCCATAACTGCCCAATGTTCAGCTGAAATCTATCACAATCAGAACCATACTGATAATGCTTGCAGTCAATAGCTCAGTTTAAAATTATAGGAAATATTCTACAATTCATAATTCAGAAATCCTTGGACTTAACATACTCAACAATTTTTCCTGACAATTTAGTGTAGAGCAAAGAACACCACACTGATAAAATATGTGAGGCAGCGTGGTGGAATCAGGCTCTTGTCAAAATAATCAAAATGAAGAAACTTGCATTTTTCCACTGGTTTGTGAATTTTTATTGAATTTTTGTTTTTTGGCTCAACACCTTTCATGCCCATTAAAGAACTCATTTCTGTGTGAATTTTTCTGAAAAACGTTGATTAAAGGCACACAAAATGTAAATTTTCAGTTACCACGGATTCTTAAGCTAAGGAAATAACTAATTTTTGACGGCCATTTGCTCTCTAATTTTACCTCTGAAAACAGGTGACCCCTACCTCCTTCTTTCGCAAATATCTCGACTTGCATTCAAGATAAATGGATATTTTTTTCATCCAAATAAAGACAGGTGAACAAACTTTAAGATGATACTAATAACTCTACATGCCCAAAAATTGACGAGAGCCTGATTCCGCCTCGCTGCCTCACATATATATAGGCTGTGTGACGGTTACTTTGAAGAATAAAAAATGATGCTTCATTGCCCAAAGAGCTAATGATGAATTCTTGTTTTATGCTGTTTTTGTCATCGTTCATGTAAAAAATGACTTTGTTGTTAAAAACTGGTGCATTTGATTGAATCAACTGTTGTAAATTCTGTGTATCACATGTAATTGTTTAATGGAATTAAATATTTTTTTTAAACGTCAAAAGTTGTTTGGAGCCTCTCACTTTTCTACATGTTTGTTACTTTTATCTTAGTTTTCTAAGCAAGATGTGGTTTTGTTTGTTTATTGTTTTGTTTTTTCCCCAGATGCTGGATATGTTGTTAGTGTGTGCAAATATGCTTCTCCACAAGTGTAGAAGCTGAGAAGCTTGGCTTGAATATATTTACAAGGCCAATTTTCCTACTGGTTGTCAGTTTCTCTTTCCATATAAGGGGTCACGACATGCTTATCTCTCAGTTCTCATATCTTGCTCACCCAGAACGTCGTGGATCTTTTCTACTTCAGCCTCGATCAAATGTCAGTAGCATGCACATGGGTCATTTGAATGAGTTTTCTTTTCGATATTGGACAACATGAGGGATTCAAGCTCAGCGTCAGAGAAATGCTAACATTGAATTTTACAACTTTCCCAACAGGTCTAATATGTGTTAAAGACTCTTTTAGCACCATAACTATGGTCATGTATGGGGTTATTATGGGATTTTTCAAGACTCTTCATCCACTTAATGAAGTTTAATCGGAGATGGACATTAATGTCGGAAGTCTTGCATCTTATTTTTAAAAACCGAACAATGTAAATAGGAGCGTTACATATTTAAGAACGTAATGCACATACATACATAAATGAAATTTTATTTATGTCCCAAAGAAGATCACAGGTCATGTTGTGATTTATTTCGATCCATCATACCCAGGTCAGAAATGTAAATCAGCATACAATGCATTATTTCCCAGAATGGATGTTGTCATTTGTCTTTTTAGTTAGATTTCAGACAAAGAAGACGAATTGAAATATGTGTATGAATAACAAAATTATGCTCCTTTTTTAAAAGTGTCCCACGGGGCTCTCGTGGTCTAGATGTTACGGTGTTCGCCTCTCCTCATCTTTAGGTCCCGTGTTCGAAAGCTGACACTAACAATGCCGAAAAATTTTCTTCTCTAAAAATTTTTTTTTCACCTCCTTTCTTCATATGACCTTATGTAGTTGCAAGCGCCGTAAAACACTTACCAGAAAATAAAACAAAACAAAACCACATAAAATTAAAAAAAAACAAAACAATAATCCCCCAGTGCCCCAAAACAGCGCGACTTCAACTTCAAGTGTTGTGGAATAACAGGAGTGCGCGTCCTTCAATGTGTGTTAACCTAGACGGTCAGAGATAGTATTAGAACGTATAGGGGTTAACCTTAGCGTTAACTCATCATAGTACAACACTGTCCTTTTGTTTCCTTCTGAGGCATCACTGTCACACTCCTTAATAGTATTAATAATATAACTATAATAATAATAACAATAATGTAATAATGATAATGATAATAGTAATAATATAATAATAATAATAATAATAATTAGCATTTATGCTGCGGGTTTCAGTTTTCAAAAAAAAAAAATCTCAATGCGCATTGTAATATTAATAAAGATGTCTTTTTTTTATCCTCTTCTTTCCCCTCATCCTCTTCCTCCCACTTTCTTCTTCTTCTTCTTCTTCTTTTTCTTCTTCTTCTTCTTCTTCTTCTTCTTCTCCTTCTCCTTCTCCTTCTTCTTCTTCTTCTTCTTCTTCTTCTTCTTCTTCTTCTTCTTCTTCTTCTTCTTCTTCTTCTTCTTCTTCTCCTTCTCCTTCTCCTTCTCCTTCTCCTTCTTCTTCTTCTTCTTCTTCTTCTTCTTCTTCTTCTTCTTCTTCTTCTTCTTCTTCTTCTTCTTCTTCTTCTTCTTCTTCTTCCTCCTCCTCCTCCTCCTCCTCCTCCTCCTCCTCCTCCTCCTCCTCCTTCCTCCTCCTCCTCCTCCTCCTCCTCCTCCTCCTCCTCCTCCTCCTCCTCCTCCTCCTCCTCCTCCTCCTCCTCCTCCTCCTCCTCCTCCTCCTCCTCCTCCTTCTTCTTCTTCTTCTTCGCTTTTCCTTTAGATGGTGGACGTTGCTTCTCTGACCCCTCTCCAATAAAACCATTCTAATGATTCTTTTTGCCTACGTTGTTTTGGTTCCAGTAGGTTCCTATGTCTTGATTCCGTCTTCTTTAGCCCCCCTCCCTCCTCTCTCTCTCTCTCTCTCCCCCCCCCCTCTCTCTCTCTCTCTCTCTCTCTCTCTTTTACCGTCTACCTCTGCTGCTATGAAAAAGACTGAACCTACACACTGGAAATCACAGTTATGATATAAATTGATATCAAATTTTCTTCCCCAGGAATCTTGTAACTTTTCACAACAGTTACTGCTGTGCTCTCTGTTGACGCCCCTCCCCCGAAAAAAAAAATCGACAACCCAGAGAACGTCTACAGACATCCTCCTCCCCCCCCCCTCCCTACCCCTCATGCACTCTTTATGATTACTGTCTTTCAGTTGCTGTGATTTGACCACGTTTCATGAAGTCATCGCTTTATTACATGTGTGCGAGTTTGTCATGAAAGGCCCCGTATGGAGGATGTTGTCGGGCGCCCCAGGGTGCTGTGCTATTTCCATTTCTTTTCAATATGATTATCCAAATTTATACTTGGGGAATTGTAACGATATAATTATTTACTAACGGAGAACTAGACACAACTTCTACACTAAGAACAACAATATGAACACCAGCACTGACAAGAGCAACAACAACTACAACAACAGCAGCAATAACGATAGGCCTAGCTATAAAAAGTAAAAATGGTGAAATGGTATGAGTTTAATGCCCCTATCAACACTATTAGGTTATTTAAGAGGCGGGACCTCCCAATTTAACGCCCGTCTCCGATAGGACCGAGCCAAGTGGGAAGTTCGTGTAAAGTGCCTTTCCCAAGGACACAACGTCGGACCGAGCTGAGGCTCGAACCCCCCGAACCCGCAATCTCACGATTACGAGTCCGGTAGCCTAACCACTAGGCTACCGACGCCACAATAATTTATAAAATCTAAGTATTCTAAGCAGGAAAATACATTGGAGGCCACACGCACCATGTACCATCTCCTCCGTTGTTGGTCGTGTAACGGTTAAGCGCTTCGCCATCGCACGATGAGGACCCAAGTTCGATTCCCGAATGCCGAGAATTTTTATCGAGTACATACATGTATTTTTTGTATCTCTGTCTTTCTCTCTGTTGGGATGCTGCATCCGCTCAATTTGGGATGACCTTGACAGGCATGATCGAAGTCCACCTTCTGAATGGTCTAAACTGTGTCGACGGGAGCGTAAAAGCACCTACATATGGTACATTAATTTGTGCATCTTGCGCAAGAGACGTCCGGGATTTTTAAACCTTTTTCCAAAAAGGCTATGTGTCTGATCTCACCTACTAATACGATAAAGGGATTATCGAAAAGACAGCAATAATAAGGAACCAGGCGTTGCATTAGAAAGATCCAGGAGTAAAAGGTGGAAAGAGGGGGGGG